AGAAGAGCTTTTTCCCACTCAGTTGACAGTTTGTTGATCATTGTTAGCTTAGCTCAGAGCTGAACATAATGGGGGAACTGACCGTGAGTAGTTTTTGTTTTTTGTATTGTTTTTTTAAAATGTTTATTTATTTGTTTTGAGAGAGAGAGAGAGAGAGAGCAAGCGAGTGCTCATGCACATGGGGGACAGGCAGAGAGAGAGAAGGGGAGAGAGAATCCCAAGCAGGCTCCGTGCTGTCAGTGCAGAGCCCAACTCGGGGCTAGATCTCATGATCTCACAAACTGAAATCATGACCTGAACTGAAATCAAGGGTCGGACGCTTAACCAACTGAGCCACCCATGCGCCCAAGTGACCGTGCATGTGTAATTTTATTTACGTGTGCTCAGAGTTCTATCCCCGAGTCACCAAACATAGAGGAATGCCCCTTTAAGGTATTGTATAAAACAAAAAATTTAATAACTGTGTATCTGTCCTAATGGATAGAAATTATATTTGATGGAAGAGAATACCACCTATATTATAGTCAACGACCTAAAATCCTTCTTTTACTCTTTTTCTGCTCTTGAGAAAAGGGAAGGTCAAATTAGTATTGAAATTAATTTATTCTGACTTTATAACTGTTGTCCTAAGAGAGTGTTGCTCAAAGTGTTTTGCCAGGATCACTAGTTTCTAGAAGATCCTCTGCTGTATCTGGGCTGGGACGCTTGGAATACACATCCCATAGTCACAGCACCACAGGATCCCGGGCTTGTGGAACCCATATTCCTCAGACTTCTGTGACTTTAGCACTTCTTTTTCTTCTCCTCCATAAGACTTATTTTGGGATCGTTGTCTCGGCAGGCCTGTGACCTTGTTAGCACGTTGCTTGGGAAGATGGGGGCCATCTGATGCTTCTCTCCTAGTCTCATTGACTAAATATAGATAATTAGAGGTCACATTGTTATGAATGTTTGTGTGTTTTAAGTTACCCCACCTTTCATGTAGTCATTGGGAAAAGAAGTGAAAGCTCTAAAAAGTTTTCTTTAATTATATTTAATATAGCTAAATATTGAGTGATGAGGATCCAGAAGTCCGATTGTAAAATTAATCTTTCTTCAAGTGATCCACAGGAAAGAATAGGGTGCACAGAAATGTAAAAGACTTTGAAGTAATAAAGTTCAGGTAGACCAAGTTTTAAATAGACTGTGTCTTCCTTTAGAGGACACAGAAGAGATTTATAAAAATTCCCAACAATAGCAATACTTGATATCTCTAGGAAATTATGAAATGAATACATGAACTATTTAGCAAGTTATTTTTTTTTTAGGGTTTCTAAAGGTAGGATTTAGTTTTTGTTCTTTTTAATTCTGACCTCCGTGTTCAGCAAAAGACTATCCTCAGCCACTGACGTCCTATAGAACAATCGGAACCTAGACACTAATTTAGTTTCTACTGTGTTTTACAGACACGTTGTCAAATTGTAGCTTTCAGAGGAAAACACGCTTTCCTTTGAATGGACTGCTCTGACTGTGATCGGCCCCCAAAGATTCCACGTCTTAATCCCAGGAACGCATGAGCACGTTACCTTATACGGTAGAAGGAATTTTGTAGCTGTGGTTAAGTATGTTGGGACTAGGAGATGAGTTTGGATTATTCAGGTGGCCCTGATGTAATGAAAAGCATCCTTCCAAGAGGAAGGCAGGGGTGTGTCAGAGTTCGAGTTGGAGAAGAGGGTCGGAGTGATATGGGGCCATGAGCAGAGGATGCGGGCAGCTTCTAAAGTGCCTGTGGACTCCAGAAGAACACACGCTGGTTTCGTGAGCCACCAAGATAGTGTGTGTGACTTAAGTGATAGTAACTAAGCCACTGAGTTGGTGGTAATTCGCTGCGGCAGCAATTGGGAACTGAGGAAGAGATTTGGTGACTCGCTGACTCACCGTTGAGTGCCCGCTGTGTGCTGGGCAGTGTTCCAGGCACCAAAGGGTCAGCTCTTCGGGACCCTTCAGTCTAAAGGGAGGGAGGGTGTGACTTCGGAGTACGCCGGTGTGACTGGGGAACAGAGATGTCCAACAGGAGAGAGTGATTGGACCAGTCATGCCGAGGGGCTCATTGAGACAGACCGTGAGTCTCAGAAGGCCTTGCTGTCTGAGCAGGTGACGTGTAAAAGCTGAGACCCAGCCATACTGAGCTCAGGAAGGACACCGCAGTGCCGGTGTGCGGGCACTCTTCTGCTGATCCCTGACCCCCCTCCCGTGGGAATTCCTCAGCAGTTCTTCCCGTGCATCCATTCCGTTGTTGCCGACATCCCTATGCAGTGCCCAAACATCACCCCTCTTCTGCTCCTTCCTCACCAACTCTGTCTCCCCCTCCACACTCTCCGGAGAGCGAGCAGAGCCTTGGCTCCAGATCCTGGCTGATGCTGTGACAGAGCCAAGAACCACGTCTGTCATCGAGTTCTGCAGAGGCTCAGCGATCTAGAGGAGCAGCCAGCTCCCCGCAGCGCCTCGAGGAGCCAGCGGCGGCCCGGCTCTGCAGGCTGGGACAAGGCCACCGCGGGTGCCCGCCCCCGCCTGCCCTTTGCGTGTGGAGGAGAGAGCACTCCCGTGGCTGGCTCCTTAGGAATAAGCAGTGAGGTTGAACATGCTCATCCGTTGTGCCTGTTCTCGTGGTATCCCTAAGAGTTGACATGGATTTTGGAGGTTTATTCCTGTCACCTGCAAAAAAGCAGGCCCACAAGGGGACGGGACGTTGGTTCCCCAAATGTGTCAAAAGCTGTCCCCGCCCTTCCTTCTGTCCGCTGAGGTCAAACTGATTGTACCTTGAGGACAGGGCCCGCCCCGCAGCAGGAGGCTGGGCCTTGCTTTCCTGCTCTCCCACGTCTTCTTAAAAGGAAAAATAGACCCATCCTGCGTGGCTATGAACATCTGTACGTTGCTCATATATACAACTGAGGGTGTTTCCTGCCCTATGAAATGGTTTCTCTAATGGCCTCGATTCCTAATCAGGTCCTGACTTTTTTGAGCCCCCAGATATCGTGCCTCTGAGAATTAGAAGTGTAACTGACCGTCCGTGCTCCCTCCCACACCTGCCCGATCATGTGGGCTCAGGAAACTCTGGCAAGATGTCTGGAGGCTCCTGCAAAGTCTGTGTCTCACTGTAAATACGTGTGTAGTGGGCTCTTTTGGTTTTTGCTTTTTTAATGAGCAGAATAAGGTAGTTATACTCCGTAATACCCATTCACCAAAAGGAGAAGGGTGGGGGTGTTAAATCATTGTGTTTTTTGATGAATGGCTTGTACACTGAAAAATAAATTGGACAAACGGGCATAGAGCTCAGTGAACATGAAATCAGCTATTAGAAGAAAGCTTGTGGACAAATTCTGAGGCAGATATGCATCTTTTGATTAATGCCCTATCAATCATCCACACGGCTACCTTAGCTGAGTCTTGCCGTAATCATTCATGGTTGCTTTCGGAAACACACGCAGAAACTGTAGCACCGCAGAAACGGAATATTATTACTGATTTCTCCCTAACTTACTGTGAACAATGACTGTTTTCACCATGTTTCTGCTTTCCTTTATTAAAGAACTACAATACAGAATGAAAGGAGAGTTCCTCCAAGCCTGGCGAAATTCTCATAGGGTATTCTTAATGATATTCAGTCTTAAATGGGCAAGCTATTGTAATGCAAGGTTCTCTGTAGGAATAATAGTAATGTAATCCCATTGAAGCCGCCTTTCATGGATTGTAGTCAAATAGGCAAAATGTGGAGTCACATTAATGAACAGAGTATATCTTCGGAATTATTACTTAAAGTTGTTGAAATGGTTTGCATTTTGTTATTGTAATTATTATATTCTCAGTTAATGCGCTTAACAGCAATAGTAATTAACCCACCAGATTGGAAATTTGCATGAATTCTACCTTTGACACTACAAGAAACCCTGATTCTTTCTGGGTATTATGCAGCAGGATGGGGGAAATACATATATATGTTTTTTTTCACCGATTATTTTTAAGAAAGAAATGTTCATGAATGCAATTAGAGTTTTTCATGCATTTTTTTAAAACCATTGGAAAATTCCTCAAGAACACTTCATTCTTTTAAGAGGACTTGATTCCTAAACTGTGCTGGCACAAAGAATGGTTTGGCACTGTCTACTTGTCGAGAAATCTTTAGGTAATAGTGTGGCTTCCTCGGAATTTACTGTAGTGGCTTGGGCGACGCTGTGGCATAATGAAGCGGTGACAGGCATTAGCATGTATAATGGGCTTTCATAGACATTTAATGCCATTTAGCTGGGAGAGGGGGCTGTGCTCTCCCATTGGAATATTCCTCCACCGAAGCCCATTGATCACCGATTTCAGCCAGGAGAGGTTAATCCATCAGCTTCTGTAACCAGACGGCACTGATGGAAATTCTTTAGGTGGCATTCTGGATGAACCAAGCTTTCCATCTTTACAAACAAATGAGTGATATGACAAGCATGGTGTTCAAAACACATTTAACCAATTGATTTTCCTTCCTCTTGTAATAAGATCTGGAGACATATGAAAGCACGCAGCGTGAGCCGAGATTAAAGGAATTGCCCCATGCGAAGGAACATACAGCACTGAGAGCCAATAAAAGTACTATAAAGCATGTCGTCACCCATTCTCATTTTTATATGAAGTTTGTTATTGCAATAAATAGCCGTTATTGAGCAGACGCCTTTTGTTTCCGTTTTGCTGAAGCTTCTTTCAGGTGTGTGTGTGTGTGTGTGTGTGTGTGTGTGTGTGTGTGTGCACGCACGCGCCTGTATGGGTGCACGCACGCGCGTGTCCTGCCTCAGTACCCGTGTTTCTCTTGGAAGCTTCCAAGGTGTTCATCAATAACTGTTTTTAGCTTCTAATTTAAACAGACAGACCTCATGTAATTTGGGATGTAACAGCAGGCATAAAGATGCGCGCATAGCGCGCTTGCAGTAACCTCAGCGTTCTGCGTAAATGATGGTCTTCTCTTTATTTCCCCCGCGCAGCCCTGCCTTGAGCTTCACCTACCCTTCTGCACCTGTGTCTCTCCATATGCATCAGCAAATCTTAAGCCGACAACAGAGCTTAGGCTCGGCCTTTGGACACAGCCCTCCACTCATCCACCCTGCCCCAACTTTTCCAACTCAGAGGCCTATTCCTGGGATCCCTACGGTTCTGAACCCCGTCCAGGTCAGCTCTGGCCCTTCCGAGTCCTCACAGGTAAGAGAGACAGCTCGATGAGCTGATCCATCTTGTAATCCTAGAGGAGAGCCACGTCACCTCGTGAGCTCCGAGCATGGTCATGGCTTCCTTACTGTAACCTGTCTTCCTAACCCAGGGCCGCAGGCTTCAGGTTTGACGAATGCACCCCGTATGTGTTCCTCACCAAACAGTAGCTTCTTCTACCAGAGTCATCTCATCTTTGGTGGAAAAGCGGGCTGCCTGATGAGGCTTCCCTCTGACCTGGTTTTGTCTCTAACCCTGCCCAGTAGACTACATTGCATGAAGGGTTTGCTCTCATTCGGTTACTGTCCCCTGGCGCCTAGAATCATGGGATACTTCACGGGCAGCATAGAACCATGCTGTGCCCTCTGTTCTGTGTCCTCTTATCGCCTCACTAATACTGCCCCGAGAAGAATCTGCATCCCTGAATTAGAGAACTTTGCAGATGGTTTCTTTTGGTTCCCTACCCAACTCACCACTTTGTTCTTCTAAACACGCTGTGGGAGCTCATTAAAGCCCAGGCCCCCTGCTCTATTCTCTTAGCTTTTAAAAGCCAGAGGGAGTTTTTAGTCCTGAGTGTAAACAAGGAGCTGCCTCGTGGATGTATTTTCTCGCTTCAAACACACTTTCTGAGCTCTGCGATTGTGGGATGGGAGCATTATCAGTGTTATTGTTCTAATGCCAAATAAGTCTGCTTGTCTAGAGTTGCATGTTTTAGCGATGGTCCCGCTCATTGATGAAAACCTAATTTTTGTCTCTGTCCCTGCAAATGTGACCAGCAGAACAAGCCCACGAGTGAGTCCGCGGTGAGTAGCACCGGTGACCTGATGCACAACAAACGGTCCAAGATCAAACCCGACGAAGACCTGCCCAGCCCAGGGCCACGGGGTCAGCAGGTGAGGCACCGCAGCTCCCCCGGCCAGCTCGTTGCTCCCCTTGGGCTGGCGTCTCTCACAGCATTTCCTCATTCACTGTGGCCTTGGCCTTGACCTTGGCCGTACCCATGCATTTGACAAAAGTCCAGTTGTGGAGTGACTCCGTTTGTTTTTCTCGCTCAGAAGCAAACACAAAGAAAATGCAAGAAGCTGTGTGGGCTATAACCTGAAGTGTGTGGTGTCAGTGGTTGGATTAATTTGTTACTGACCGCTGATAGCTTTGGTCCTTAGCCCTGGTCTGAGGCCTGAAATAATGAACTCCTGGCCCTAAGCCTGAGCTGGGCAGAGCTAGTGATATTCCCTACACCCATCATGTTCTTCTTTGTTCTTATTTTGCCTTCTCCACTTGCCAGGAGAGCTTGGAGAACAGGAGGGCATGGATCAAGGCACAGCTAACCTACCTGAAGGCCAATAAGATTCTGGTCCTTTCTCCAAAGTCCTGAAAGGACAAGTTTAGAAATTCTAATCTGGTCTCTGCTTTTAGGCATTTAGATCCTCTGAGCTTCAGTTGTAAAATATGTTTATTGTGCCTAGAGGCATAATAATACCATCTCCTAGGGTCCCTGTGCCCAACACAGGAAGGAGGTCAATGAATTTTAATTCCTGGAAATAGGGGCTGGACAGGAGTCTGGACGTCCACAGAATCTGGATTCTACATCCAAGGCTGCTTCAGCCCCAAGCTCAGACCACCTCCACCCAAATTTCCTTTTGCATGAGCATTTTGAGGATGGAATATATGGGTGTAGTAGGTTCTGAGATCCACCTTTCCTCTGGAATTCTGCTGGCCAACAACTTTGGCGGTTACACCGAAGTGCCTGTTTATGGTTTTTGTCACCCTGTCCCAAATTAGATCCCAAGTCTATGCACCTAATACTCTCCCAGCATTCTGGAAATTGTTTGTATTTTCATTGCCGCGAAGTTGCCTTGAAGAGGAGAAAAGACCATGCCGCCAACCTTTAGATGCTGTGGTTCTTGGGCAGCGAGCCACATCTTTGGAGATCAGAAGTTGAACCAGGAAGACACGATCCCTATAAAACCCACAAAGTGCCGGTCACAGCCTCCAATGGCAGGGAAAGCAGAATCAGAATTACTAGCAAACCACGTCCCTGATTCCAAAGTAGGAGAATAAACAAATTCATACACTGGAAAGAATCTGACCAAAAGAGACCAGTCTTTTGAGTAAAGACAACATGAACTAGTTTAATTGCTTCTCTTAGGGGATTACATTTTAATTTCTTTTTCCTCTTGTATTCAGGGGCAAGGTTTGGCCTCCACTTCTTATCATCATCATAGCTTAGACTGCTGTTTTTTTTTTTTTTTTTAAATGTTTATTTTTGAGAAAGAGAGCATGAGCAGAAGGGACAGAGAGAGACACACACACACACACACACACAGAATCCAAAGCAGGCTCCAGGCTCTGAGCTGTCCGCACAGAGCCCGACGCCGGGCTCAAACCCATGAGCCATGAGATCATGACCTGAGCCAAAGTTGGACACTTAACCAACTGAGCCACCCAGGCGCCCCTGGACTATTGTTTTTAATCCCAAATTAACAATCTCTGAAGATACATTCCACAAATCAGAAAACATGCACACAGATGACTCCATATGTTTGACTTCTTCGAGTCACAAAATCCAGCTAATAGACCCGGGCTGTATTTTATTTTCACTGAAAAATTGCGTCAGGAGGCAGACCAACCGAAATCACGTGGTTGGGTTTTGTTTTGTTTTTTTTTGGTCTTTTTTTTTTTTTTCCCTTTCTCTTGCCTTCTTTCCATTGTGTCTGAATCCTTTCCCTCTCTCCTCCCTGCCCCCCCAGGAACAGCCGGAAGGGACAACCCTAGTGAAGGAGGAAGGGGACAAAGACGAAAGCAAACAGGAGCCTGAAGTCATCTATGAAACAAACTGCCACTGGGAAGGTTGCACGCGGGAGTTCGACACCCAGGAGCAGCTGGTGCACGTAAGTGGGGGGCCGCGGGGACTGGGCTTTACAGCTCTGCGACCTTGTCGGTGGGGTCAGCGTCCCTGACCCTGCGCCGAGTCAAGTTTCTTAGCTAGCAGCGTTGCAAACTGGAGAGGGCTTTATGACTTTTCTGAGAATAAAGAAAACTCTGAGCCACGGTGCTTGACCTGTTCAGTCAGCTAAAGCTTAGTGTAAAATTCAATAAAGTCTTCAATAGAGAGTGTAATGACTCTGATCCTGTAAGCCAGAAAACACTATTTTGAGTTAACGTCTTTGATGGTTATTGAGTAATAGTAAGCTGGACATGAATTATTATTAACCTTTTAACCAAGTTTGATTCTCCTCTCTAAGACCCGGCAACAGCAGAAAAAATTTTAGAGGTGGGGAATTCCTTTTTTCCGTTCTGCCTTCTTCTTCCAAACTCTCACCATCTGAGGAGCCTCCCACTATTTTATGAGGCAATTAGTACTCTGTGTGAGATAGGTAGATGCTTGGAGAAGCCATTAGCACCATTTCTTGACTTCCGGCCAAGCCTTGCAGGGCGGAGAGTCTCATGGAAAGAGTGATGTGTATTTTAAAATGTGTCCTGTGGCGTGTGCTTTTGAGACCAGCAACATGGTCACATTGAGATCCACGCTCTGTCTTATTCTTCCAGGTTCAGGAGTCTTTGCTGCCCACCCCCCCCCCCACCCCGCCCGAGTATTGTTTCCGATAATGCAGTGCCCTCCCCACTCCCACATACCTGAGTGGGCATATTTCCTTTACCAGTGCTTCATCTTATTTGGGACTTCTCTTTCACACCAGAGGAACCTCCCTAGCAGGGACCAGGAGCAACTGAGACGGAAGGGCCTTCCGATGATAGAGGATAAAAAGCTGTAGGCTCACACTCCTGTGCAGAAGCACAGGGGTCCCATCGAGGCATTAAGGATGGTCTTTTCATCAGCTTCATCAGAGTGTGGCCTTTTCATCAGCTTTTAATGTGACAGAAGATCTGACAGAACAGCTTTCGTGGGGACTCTTTGTCCACCCAGCACACGTGCACACATCACACACACTACCCCCAGTCTCTTTTCTTTTATAGTAACTTTTAATTGTAGATGATCCATACTTCTTGAGAGCCCTTCTCCATTTAAGCACTAAAATTATACATCCCCTGACACAGCCCACGTTTTTCATGGGCCTCGTGAGCTCCCCCAGTGTGTCTTCCGCAACTTGGCTCATCCTCTGTAATATATTCTGCACGCTGCCATCACATTATAGTCTTAGGTTTGCCAGGTTTTGAGATCCATTATGTACAGGATGTTTTGGGAAGTTAACATGATGACATCAGCAGGGTTTCCCCCCCCAAACGTTTCTTTTGTAATCATGTCCCCTTGTAATTGTGCAGGAAGAATTAGAGATTTCTCAGTGCAGCAAGAACCTAGAAAGTCAAATGTTTTTAATTAAGGTGTATTTCCAGATTTTTCCATGAACCTAATTCGACTCTCTCTCTTTAATTTGATGCAAGTGTTATTTCTAAGCCAAGCCTTACTTAATGGCCCTTTCTGCTTGCTGACTTTTAATGGGAACCACAGACATTGTAATGCTAAAGGGGGAAAAAAAAGTTTGGAATTTTTCTTTTCGGGTAGGCAAATTTTCCCGAAGAGGAAGGATGTCAGGAATACCCTTTGTGATACAACGAGTGGACAGACATCCACGAGGGGGAAATTGTTTGCATGCAAACCACCATCACGAACGAGATGCTGTCTGGGCTGCTTGCTTTTGACAACGTCCCCATCTCCTGGTGCCTTCTCTGCGGATAGGTCATTGTAGTTTCCAAGGGGGGCTGTAATTATGGTTCAGCTGTTGTCAAATGCGGGGATGGAATGGGAGCTTCCTCTGAGCCTACATTTAAAAGGAATTGTGCTCCTCATGAGGCACCAGGTTGGAGGTCGCATTTTGGGGGAATTTTGGTAATAACTCCACCTTTTTGCTGTCTGTTTCATGTGAAAGCTTTTACAAGACTGTGACTCTTGTAGGTGTTTGTACTTAATCTCAGGGGCGAAAGGTTTTGGGTAGTGATGATGTTTTCATAGAGAGATCTGAGTAGTTTGAAGGAATGTCTGCTTAAACTGTCGCCTTGAATGACCACGGTGTTGTCTGTTGTATCGTAAAAATTATAAACAAATCCACGTACAGTGGAAATTTTTTATTCCAAATCAGGTAGGAGTTACTCATGTCAGGATTAGGGGAAAATCCAATATATTACTTTTGATGTTAATTTTAGTCTGAGATAAATTATGCAAATTAAGTGGATTAAAGTTATGACTTGCGGTGACGTAAATAAAAATACCAGCTTATATCACGTATTTTCCACCTTTTTACTTGTTATCTGAAGTGTGGAAAGTCCAAATTCGTGCGTTTAAGTTGATTTCACTTTGCAGGATGCATGAGCACCTTCCCACTCACGGCTGTCTCGTTAGCACCAGCAATGGCCTGCTGTAGCATGGACACTTTATTTTTTTGTTGATTGAAGGAAAAGCTACTTCACGTCCACCTCATTATTTTGGTGGCAGGTGGAAAAAATGCCAGTTGCGAAACCCACTTTCTTAAAGACGGAGGGCAGTATTAACTGTTTCCATTCCCACAGCTTTCCTCGGAGAGAGGACATTTTGGGAATTAGTTGCATTTTCATGCTACATACAACCAAGAGGCAAGGTGTTAAACCATTCTGATGCTCTGCCTTATTTATAGCCATGACCCATTCTTCTTCCCCCTCTTACAGTTAATAGAAAGATTCATGATTCTTCATGGCTGTCTATCTAGTGTCTGACAGTCCCGACTGCCTGCTAAAGCAAGTCACTATCTATAATTGATATCCTTCCGTGGAATAGGGTGCTGGCTGCGATTGAAGGGCTTTGCTGAAAGCTCTTAAATCCTGACAAGTTCTCCCCTTGTTCTGGTTCAGTCGCTGAGCTGCACGGTTGGAATTCCAGAGTCATTTGAACTTGGTGCAAAAGGGAGACATGTGTTTCCCATTAGCAAATCACAAAGTTGAAGAGGAGAATTAGGGACCCGGCTGGCTTTGCCCGCCAGGTAGTCTCATTTCCAGGGTAATGCACTCCGTGTTCTCTTGAAAAGATGACCTCGTCCCATTACTGTCCCAGCAGATGGGCTAAATATTGCCTTTCCCTTCTCCTCTCCTTTATTTCAAGCGCCTGTCCTCCTCCATGGGTGTGTTTCTTCTAGGTTTGCTGTGGGGTCTTTATCACCAGCATGTTTAATTAATTTCTCTTCCCAGCCAGATAATTATAATTGGGCTTAGTTACTCTCAAGCTAGTATTAAATTTGTCATAAATTTATTTCTGTGCCCAGAAGCTAAGAAGATAGATGTGTACTTTTGTGAACCACGTTTTTGTTATACTTTGTCCCTTCCTTGGTGTCAGTTAAAATAGAACGAACGAGAGTGTAGGAAGGAGGTACGGTACAAAAATTAATTCAAAGCACCTTTGATTAAGACGGAATTTATTATTGATTTGTCAAGATGCAAGTGCTTTCTCTTCCCTCGACATCTGAAAGCACGTATTCTAATGACTCAAAATAAGTCGAAAAGTCCCCATTTTCCCTTCAACTCCAAATTAATTAGACTCTCTTTTTGCTGCTGTGTATTGTATGTTACAAAAGACATGAATCTTTATTTTTTTTTTTTTTACTTTTTTAAAGCTTATTTTTATTTATTTTGAGAGAACGGGGGTGGGGTGGGAAGAGAACAAGTGGGGGAGGGGCAGAGAGAGAGGGAGACAGAATCCTAAGCAGGCTCCACACTGTCAGTGCAGAGCCTGGCGCGGGACTCGAACTCATGAACTATGAGATCATAACCTGGGCTGAAATCAAGAGTCAGACTTAACCAACTGAGCCACCCAGGTGTCCCTGAATCTTAATTTTAAATGTATCTCTGACAGTTGTAGAATATTGGTTCTTGAAGTGTTTCTGGTTTTGTTGTATTTTTTTTTTTAAGTTTGTTTATTTTTGAGAGAGAAAGAGAGAGTAGGGGAGGGGCAGGGAGAGGGAGACAGAGAACCCGAAGCGGGTGCAGAGCCCAATGTGGGGCTCAAACCCATGAACCATGAGATCATGACCCGAGCTGAGGTGAAGTTGTAATTTTTGTTGGAATGTAAAAAATCCCACTTTTGTCTTTTCGCCTGGCTTCTCGCATGGATGAGTGAGGCTTCCAAACCTTCCTGAGACCCACTTCCCTCTTGCGTTAATTCTGTCCTAGAAGGTAGAACCCATCTTCTGCTCTAAGAGGGTTGAGGCATCTGAAACGCATACAGCGTGAGCACCTGTCAGTCAGTCCCAGGTTCTCCGAAACCCGCACACTTTGTTTCTGAATGACATTGGACGTCCCCTCAGTGTTTGCGGAGGATGTGCGCCTCCTTTGGGTTGCCACTGCTCAGTGGCCGTGTGTGCTTGCAAACATCACTGCTGGGAGCCTGGGAGCCGGATAAAAGTAGTTTAATCACCATCCCCGATGGGCACCTGTTTGCTCTAGCACTGTCCTTCCTTACATTCTGTTTCAGTGAAGTAACCCCCTTTCTGGCTTAGAAATAACACATACAGTGTTCTTTCCTAAGGTCTGTAAATAGGCACGTTATTTTTTAACAGTTTTTTTTTCACATTCACAGAGTAGTTTGCTTTATTTATTTTTTTTAAATATGAAATTTGTTGTCAAATTGGTTTCCAGACCACACCCAGTGCTCATCCCAACAGGTGCCCTCCTCAATACCCATCACCCACCCTCCCCTCCCTCCCACCCCCCATCAACCCTCAGATTGTTCTCAGTTTTCAAGAGTCTCTTATGGTTTCGCTCCCTCCCTCTGTAACTTTTATTTTTCCTTCCCCTCCCCCATGGTCTTCTGTTAAGTTTTTTAGGATCCACATAAGAGTGAAAACATATGGTGTCTGTCTTTCTCTGTATGACTTATTTCACTTAGCATAACACTCTCCAGTTCCATCCA